AGCGCGTCGCGTGCGTAATGCGGAAAGATCACCACATGCACCAGGGCGGTGCAGATGATGCCGAGCCCGACCTCGCTCAGCCGGTCGCCGGCCATGCTCCAGGCCAGTTCCGGCGCGTCGACCGAGCCGAAGCCGATCAACAGCGCCGAATAGGCGGCGAGGCCGAAGCCGTAGGTGGCGAAGTTGCGCGACAGGGTGGCGCCGTAGGTGCAGGCCGCGATCCACAAGGCCATCACCAGGATGAACAGCGGCCCGGCCTGCGCGAACAGGCCGATGCAGCACATGGCGAACACCGCGCCGCACGCCGTGCCGACGAGGCGGTAGGCACTCTTGGACAGGATCGCGCCGACCATCGGCTGGGCCATCAGGTAGACGGTGACCAGCGCCCATTGTGGCTCCTTCACTTCGAGCCAGTAGGAAATCAGCAGCGCGCCGATTCCCGCGACGAAGGTCTTGGTCGAGAAGGCGAGGTCTTCGAGCGAGAACGGCGGCGTGAAGGTGAGGCGGGGCATCGCCGGCGCCTTGCGCGGCGCCAGGGCATCCCGGCTGGCAGTTCTGGCTGTCCCGTCGATAGCCGCACCCGGACTATTGATCCTCATCGCCTCCACCCTAGACCCGCCGATAGGCGAGGACTAGAAATCTGCGCCTAACAGCCGGGGTCGCCATGCCAGAGGATAGCAGGAAGAAGGAGAGTGCGATCCTTACCGAGAATGAGGAAGCGCTCTTTCAGATCATGAAGATCGTCATTGCGACCGTCGCTGCGGGCGATGCGGTCAAGGGCAAGCAGCTGGACGATCAACTCACATATCTGAAGAACGCGTTCTCCTCGAACGGGAAGAAGAAAGCGGCGATCATGACGGAATCGATCCGGATCGCGGCATTCGCCTCGAGTCGCGATGCTGCTCGTCTTGCAAGCCTGCGGGGAGACGCGAAGGGAAACGGCTAGTATTCCCGTTTCCACCGTCGACTTGAGCTTCCGCTATCGTTGGTGCCCCCGGCCGGACTCGAACCGGCACGACCCTTACGGATCAAGCGATTTTAAGTCGCTGGCGTCTACCAATTCCGCCACGGGGGCCCCGCGGGGGCGACCATAGTCAGGGTCGATTCCCGTGTCATCCCGTTCAGGCACCGCTCAGGCGTCGTCGGGCACGGTGAACCTTGCCGGCGACAGCGACTCTTCCGTGACG